ACTAAAAACACCCCAGGTAAGGTTTTGATTAGATTAGCCCTTTAAGTCAGCATTTTCTGACCAAAGTGCTTCCTCAGTTTTCAAAATGAAAAAAAATATTAAGTTAATATAATGATAGTCATACTACTAGTCATGGATATATTTCTACCTTAAAAATATTCTAAGAGTTAAAATTATCACTCATGAGTTTTCCCACAGGCAGCCAAGAGTCACTGAAGAGTTGAGCTGACCAAATGTGAAATTAAAAAAAATTTAATTCCATTTAATTCCATTTTACCATGGACTGAAAACCACTAACTTTCTCTTCCCACTTTTCAAGTAAATAATAGTAAAACTGAAATGAGTTTACATTGTCATTATTAGCCTTAAGTGTTAAAAGCATAACACCTACATACAGATTCCTCCAAAAGAGGGGCAAGGAGTACCATCCAATACCGCAAGAACATTCCTTATGCTGTGCTGCAATAAGGAAGCATTTTTGAAGTTCACTGTAACATCAGGCAGGCTCTGGCTCTTAAAACTCCAACTACTTATTAGCAGGATCTCCTTAAATGTCACCATTGCTATGAAATGACTGTAATTGCTACGAAATCACTTACTATGCAAAGATGGTTCCATTGTAGCCATTCATGCAAGATTCAACAATGTTTTTAGCCACACTTGAGAACACAGACTCCTGGGGACAAGGGAAAGAGAAAGCACTTGGCACCACCTGTTAAAGTAGCTGTTATATCAGTGTTTCCTATGCCATAACTTTATAGTATATAATAGATGCATTCCTTAAGGGCAGACACGCACCATGAGCCCTGGAATTCTCACAGAAGATGATACATCCTAAGTCATTGTGACATATATCACTCTCTCTGAAAAAATTGTATCCCTTGATAAACTCAAAGAGAAATAAAATTCAGCATCATAGTAACAGCTTCCAAGTACATAATAATAATTTTGATCCAGTGGTTTTGATTATGTTACACAGTTTATACCATCGGTAGGCCAGGTGCCAGTGACACTTAGAAAATCTAGCTTTCAACTTTTGCCACTGCACAATGGCACATTCAACAGAGCTGCACAACTTAGCCCCATCTGTATTCACATTTTTCTCTTAGATCTGCAAGAAAAGCCTAGCTACAAATAATAGCCTAGAGAAGGTGACGTTTTTGGGAGGTTTTGTTTTGTTTTTTTAACAGAATTTAAATGGAATTGGGAGTCTTAGCAGAATTAAAATTACGTTCAGAATATCAATCACCAATATTATAGAAATTAAATTGAAGGACTTTCTTTCCAGTATTACTTGTCCCAGGTGGGCATTTAAAAGGCAAAAGTGTAAGAAGGAAATATAGTAAATAGAATAGAAACTCTGAAGTTCCTTAAATACAAATGTGCAGGGCCAAGAGTTGAACTTGATGATCCTTGTGAGTCTCTTCCAACTCAGCATATTCTGTAATTCTGTGAAATCACATCTTAATATCAGCTACTGACTGCCAGTTATTTTTATACATTTGTCTCAATAGGCAGATTTATTTTCTCTCTATGGTGTTATCATAATGTTTACAAACAAAACCTTCAATTTTAATTCAAACTCCAATTAAAGAAATTAACAGCAAAAAAAAAATCACATCAAAACTGTTAGAGAGCAGGATTTAGTGCAGCATTCTGTACTATAACAACATATTTCCATTCTGACCACTGCAAAAAATCAGACCTAATGCACTACGTCTTTAGAAATGCTTAGCATAGTAGCTGCCAAAACTTGGGTGAAAATAGCAGTAGTTAAGAGATTCTGGAAATGCTTACCTGTGTTGTTTCCATATTTGCAACATAATCAAAAGTGAAGATCTTAGGCTCAGGCTTTGAGTGCAGACGGATGGTGTTTGACGAAAGCACAGATAAACACAGGCCATGATCTCCATCTGTTAGTGCAGTGCTGTCTGAAGGGGGGCGCACCCGAACAAAGACTTTGATAGCATCACCTTCAACACTAAATAAATGGTTATGCATTAGGTTACTTCCAAATAGATCAGCTGCCTGATAAAATTAAATGCAACAATCAGATGAAGCATGTGAAGCCTTACAAAGATCCGTCCAAAAATCATGCTACTTTTAGACGAAAACAATAGAGGTAAAAACGTGGCAGATTTAAAAAGCAAAGAACATGCAGTTATATGCAATTCATTGCTGTGGCACCTAGCTTTAGCTCTAAAAGAACACATTGCACAGTGATCACAGGATGCCCTTCTTACTCCTGGAAGCTTTAATGGAATAATGGACCAGAATATGCTACGGTCCAGCAAAAAAGTTGCCAGCATTTTTATTTGGTGCTCACAAGAAGGGGAAAAATAATCAATTCTTGATCAATGAATCAAATAAAGGATAGCAAGTGCCTGCATCTAAAACATCCCTAACCAATTTCATCACATTTATTGGCTTTAATAAATAACTGTGCATGACTTCCATCAAGGCTCTGAAGAGTTCTGCCATAAATAACAATACGCCAATAAAATAGTAAAGAATTAAATTCTTCCATGAAGTGGTAGGAAACTTGGATTTACTTTACTTCATTCTTTTCCAAAGGTTTTAGCAGGAGGGTGTTGTAACTGCTGTTTTTACTATTGGTAACAAGAGAAGAACGGTTCTGAAAGTGGGGAAGGGTCCTCATGAATGAAATGTGCAGTTGGGTAGTGGCAGAGGAAAGGGCTGAGAACATAAGCAGCACCTGAGAAAAATCCAGTATAACATTTTCCCTAAGACACACCAAATTAATTTGCCAAATGTGCTTTCATTATTCCGAGTTGTGGCACAGTTTACACTTGGAAGAGGGCTTTTTGGTTTTTGTTTTAGTTTAGGGCTTCCTCACAGGACTGAAGTCCCTAGTGGGATATTTCTTCATGTAAACTTCAAAATGCAGCTGCAGAATTAGTGGACAAATGAAAATTTATTGCATGGCAGCATTCCAAGAGCAACCCAACATGTCAGTGTAACAGTTTCATTAAGAATACATTTTTTTAAAAGCCTCTAAGGATATTAGGAGAGAAAGGCAGCAATCCTAGGCAGGTAAAGATTGAAAGAAAGAACTTTATTTCACAGTGTTATGCTAGGTTTTGTTTCTGTGCAATGTGATTAATAATATATGGGAACTGGCCAGTATTATTTTACCTAGATGAGTTCTGCAAAGATATTGAAGAGTCACGCAGACCTCCTATAAAAGAAAAGAGAGACACACAAAAATTAAAGTTACTGCTCCAAACTCCTGACTTAAATAGAAAATACCGTAAGCAGTACAGAGGGAAATAAATGGAGAGCCTTATAAATACCTGTTTTGTGCATGAACAGAACTGCATGAAAATATTTGGTAAATATCTTCCTTTGGCAGAAAGATTTCAGTTTGTAACAGAGGAAGTGAAACCTTCATTCCCTTAATGTGAATGTGCACACACTTATCAATGTGCCATTTGTTTATTCTGGCAAAAAGGAGGCTCTGGGAGACCATATCACCCTACAACTGCCTGGAAGGAGGCTGCCTGGGGTCAGACTCTTCTCCCAGGTGACAGGACAGGACACAGCCTCAAGCTGTGCCAGAGGAGGTTCAGGCTGGACATCAGGAGGAATGTCTTCACTGAAAGGCTAATTAGGCTTTGGAATGGGCTGCCCAGGGAGGTACTGGACATGCCTGGAGGTGTCTGGATGTGTCCAATGACACTCAGTGCCATGGCCTGGTTGACAGGGTGCTGGGCATTCATAGGTTGGACTCCATGATCTCAGAGGTCTTTTCCAACCTCACTGATTCTGTGAGTGAGGCTCATTTTGCACAGCTTCAGACTTCAAGGAGACAGCATATATTATCCCATAGGACTTATTTTTTACTTAATCTGATATCAAAGTCCATAATGTAGTCAAAACATGAACAAAATAACAAAGTTGTATTTAAAAAATGAGCAAAATAACAATGAAAGACAATGCCTCAAAATATTCCAATAATAAAGTATTTACAAAATCTTTATGAGCACATGGGTTTTTTTGGTAAGAGGATCACCTTTAACAGCAGAATGAACAATGATGTGCAAAGATGCCTACCTTCTCTTTGACGTTCAACTACCTAAATATCCTGCTGCTGCGTGAGCTTTTTATGTGCTGTTTTGATTTACTTAACATCTGAGAAATATTGTAGCTTCTAATTAAGCAATTTATTCTTCAATTAAACAAGTTATCAAGGAAAGCGGTGCGGTTAAAAATTGAAATCAGACTGATAGGTACTTGCAGAGCCCTGGGAATAGCCTGAATTCGTGTCAGCGGAGGTTTGGGTTGGATATCAGCAAAAGGCTCTTTACTCAGAGGCTGGCTGGGCACTGAACAGGCACCCCACGGAGGTGGTCACAGCACCAGCCTGACAGAGCTCGGGAAGCGTTCGGAGAGCGCTCCCGGGCACACGGTGTGATTGCTGGGCATGGTGCTGTGCAGGGCCGGGAGTCGGACCCGATGATCCTTGGGGTCCCTTCGGACTCAGCTTATTCTGTAATTCTGCGAAAGGGCCGACTCCCAGGTACCCGGACACCACCGGGGCAGCGCAGGACGGAATGCCCGGGGCCTCTGCCCCGCTGGGGGACACCGAGCCCCTCGGCACCCGGCCCCACTGGTTCTCCCACGCGAGTGATTCCCCGCCAGGGCACGGAACAGCGCGGCCCTCCCGGACACGGCAGTCCCTCAATCCCCCTGCTCCCCGAACCGCGGGCACATCCCCAAGCCCCTTCCCGGCCGTTCCCCCTCACCTTTCTCGCCCGGAGCCATGGTCGCTCCAAGCCCGGCGACTCCCGCCCGCCCGCCGCTCCAAAATGGCGGCGCCTTCGAATTTGGCGCTCAGCGGCGCGGCCCCGCCCCCTGCCCGAGCCCAGCGCGGGCGCCGCCATTTCCCCCGGCGCGCGCGTGCCCCGCCATTGGCCGGAGCCCCGGAACGGAGAGCGCGCGGCGCGTCCCCCGGAAGCGCGCGCGGTGGCTGTGGCGGCGGTGGCGGCCATGAGTAAGAGGAACCAGGTGTCCTACGTGCGGCCGGCCGAGCCCGCCTTCCTCAGCCGCTTCAAGCGGCAGGTCGGGTATCGGGAGGGCCCCACGGTGGACACCAAGGTAACGCCCTGGCCCGCGGGTGGGAGGCGGCAGCGCCCGCTTGCCGAGCCTTGGTGCCCGCCCATCCCCGCCAGCTCGCCTTGTGGGCTGTGGGGAAGCAGCGTTTGTAATGCAAAGGGGGAGCCGTAGTTACTCGCTGAAACGGACTGAAATCTTACGTGTAACTTGTTTTGCTTTGTCTTGGAGGATCAAGACAACTGCAAGGCTGCTGTGGCGGCCTTGTGGAGCAGCCGCTTCAGCCTCTCCGTGCCCGAGGGGGCTGTGGGGGCACGGGGCGAGCAGCGGGGGTGTCCCAGCTTGAACTGGACTTGAAAAAGCCCAGGCGGTGGAGGAGGGGGGCGGTACGAAAAAAATGTCGTACAAGTACGGTAACAAATTATTGTAAAGGAGTTAACGTGAGTTCGAACTGGAAGAGGAGAAATTTACGTTGGATACATAGAAAAAAGTTCTTAGAGCGTGGTGAGACAGGCTGCCTAAGGACATTGGCGATGCCCCGTCTCTGGAACTGTTTAAGGCCAGGTTGGATGGGACGCGCAGCAGCCTGGCCTAGTGGGAGGTGCCCTGTCCATGGTGAGGGGGCTGGAACTGGATGATCTTTAAGGTCCCTCCCTTAAAGAACCTAAAATAATCTTGCTGTAGGTCCGTGGTCGTGAACTGTGTTGTGATGGCTGGAAAGGCAGGGGGTTAAAGGGCAGCCTTTCCTGAGGCACAGGTTTTTTCTGCTTCCAATGTGATTTTGCATGTGTTTCCCTCTTAATAAGATTTTACAGGATACCTTAAGAAATTAACGTCTCGTTTTTGTATATATATATATATATATATATATATATATATATATTCAGTAGATTACAGTAATAATATCTATACTTTTCCTTACAATAGAAAGTTTTCAGGTCCTCTAATATTGCCAAACTTCAAGTTGCTGCACTGAGGTTTCCATGCCAGAAGGTTTATTTAAAAAAAACCAAAATTACAAAATTACCAAATTGATTCTTCTGTCCCAGTGCACAAGTTTGAGAGAGCAGAAACAGGAGTATGATATTCCTTGTGTCAGTGCTGCTTACAGTGATTTGTTTAGCCAGGTTTAATAACCCAGCCACCATGGACCCACATTTCCCTTTGTGCTGCTTTGAGTACAGCATAGAAGGTTCAAGTTTGGAGCCTTGCATTTAAAGCTTTTCTTAGTGTTGCATAGCAGACAGTGCTGCACAGTCAAGATGGCAAAGAAAAGGAATTAATTTCTTGCTTTCCAAGTTCCTTCTGGTTTCTAATTGAAGGAGCCCATACTCCCATGCTAATGTTTTCAATGGGAAGCCGTGTCTCAGTGATAGGATTGGAGTGTCCTTTGGATAATGCGTGTTGGGTGGGCCTGGCACTGGCAGCTTTGCCAAGTCTCTTCAATAACCTTTCTGCAAAAGTGAAATGAAGTGAAACCACTGGCCCACAGCTGGAGTGATGATCAGGATGGCTTTTGTTTCTCTCTTGTCCAGAGAGAGCAGCTTCCACTTGCCGATGATGACAGCGACAACGGCAGTGACAAGGAAGATGAGCAGCCTCAAGTGGTGACACTGAAAAAAGGAGACTTGACTGCAGAAGAAGCAATGAAAATTAAACAGCAAATCAAAGAGGCCTTAAAGTCAAAAGAATCAGGTGAATTTCAAACTACTAATTTCTTGCTTTGTGTAGTCAAAGAGATAACCCACAAAAGCGGGTCTGATACTTGCTCAGCTTTTTACTGTTTAATTTTGATTAGTTCTGAATTTTTCACGTAAATAATTTGCACTTCTGGTTCCTAATCTCAAGTCATTAAGTACATATTCAGGCTGTCTGGCTTTTTATAATGGTGTAGTTCTGTGCTTCTTGATTGTGCACCATACTCCCTCTAAATATTCCCTTAAATTAATTCTTTTTGTATTTTTGTAAATTAACTTTTCTGTTGTATTATTCCAGTGCACAGTCTTTTGACATCATCTGCGATCATTTTTTAACTCATTGACTAGTTCAGCTGAATTTGACAGTGGAGTGGATGTTTAAAAGGTAATTGTATGAGTTCATGAAAGAGGGTGTCAGGGTAGAGAGATTCAGGTCTGTAGAAAGAATTGCAGATGTGTGGCTTGGGAACATGTTCACTTACCTGACAGGTCTATGTCATTACTTGCTTAAAATCAACCCCAGTACGTGTTGTGACTTGCAAATACGTTAAGCAAGATAAATAGATGATACAATAGTGTCAAAAACCAGCAAGGTCCAGAAAAAGAAGTTTTTCTGTGTCCTGGTTTAGGGCAAATTTGGGAGAAAACCTCCAAAAGGTTTTCTTCTCCAAAAGGGGGCCCCCCCAGAAAGCAAACTCATGCGGCCCCATCCCCCAACTGTTTTGGGAAAAATTTCCTTGGAGAGAAGTGGGAAAAACCTGTTTATTTAACAGGTAAAGCACTCCCCAGCACAAAAAATGAACAATACCAGATGACAAAATTCATTCACTGCTCTGAAGAGATGGCAAATTCAGGAAGTCTCTCCTGGGGTGGTCGCTCTGTTACAATCTCTCCAGCACTGGGAATGGCTGCTGCCCAGAGAAGGCCCCGGTGGCCACAAAGTGCAAGCTCTTGGTGCTTCCCCGGGTCCCAGTCCAGAGCAGGTTTGAACAGTTCCAAGAAAAGGGAAAGAAAAGACAGTTCAGGGGAAACTTCCCTGCCTCAGCTAGCTAAACTAACTAAAAAGCAAAGGAGGGCCCTGTTCTGCTCTGTCTTTGCCCAGATGAAACAATCCAGCACAGTATGTAGAGGAGCAGTGCAGTTTCTGATAACAAACTCCATGCTTCTTCTTCTCCCTGCCTTTACTCTCAGAACCAGTCTTGAAGGCACAGAATATAATATCCAGCATAAACAGAGCAGAGGATTGGGGATGCAAACATCATAAAGTCACCCTAGGATGCTCTGCCACAAAGAATTACACAAATGGAAAGATGGAAGTGGTGTGGGAGGGGCTGCTGCAGTTTTACAATAGGGATGAGAAACTACATTTGATGGATACAGTTATGTTAAGAATTTCTCTCAGTATTCATAATTCAGGTATGATTGACATAAGTGCTTTGAGTGTCCAGAAGCTTCAGTCATCAGGGTGTGATGAAATGGAGCTTTATTTTTTGCTGACTGAAGACCTGACAAATTGAATGTAGGCACTGTTGTCTCTAGTGGAAATGTCTTGACAATTAAGAATATAGGAACTGGAAACCCACAAGTATGAAATAGAAAGGTGAGTCATAGAAACTGGATGTCTTCTGTGGTTAGCCATTATTTATTAGGCTATCTACAAAAGCTGCCAATTGAATTTAGAGCACACTGTGAGGCCTAGCATATGGCTGTCAATATGACATCTTTAGCTTCTCTCTTTGTCTGCCATTTGGATTTGAAAATTCAGGATCATGCTGTCTCTGTGTAGATGTACGTGTTAAAATTCAAATGGTATAAATGGAGAAGTCAGTAACAGAAGTGGGAGAAAATATGTTGAGAATCTTATATATTTGGAAAAGCAGATTGATGAGAAATCCTAATTTTTAATAACATAGGTTAGCTTGGAACTAAATAAACCACATCCTATTTTCTGCAGGTAGATCTGTAGATCTATATTTGTTAGGTCTAAGCAGGTATATGACTTGAGCTCCTCTGAGAATATTTGCTCAGCTTTGGGCTTACTTCTTGGTGCCTTGTTATTGAAGTGCAATGCTTATAGATGCTTGGTGTCGCAGTTTTTAAAGTCATCACAAAATTTCTTTTCACCCTCCTAGTATTGGGAGAAGTTTCAGCTTATTGGAAAGAAATATCATGGTTCTTTCTGAGCATTGGCTTCCTTTTCATATAAGCAACTTGAACTTTGAGTGATCACAGTAGGAGGAAAAATGATTTTATAAGGCCGGGCAAAAAGAAGTAGTTGTCCATGAGAATCTATTGAGGTGGAGTCCATGCTGTGAAAAAAGTCCAAAAGAGCTACCAAGCTGAATACACAGTGTGAAATGGAAGTGTATTTGAATAGAGTGACTGAACTTACTTGGTGGAAAAAGACATTCGTAATACATAATTGTAAGTAGTGAGGATGGCAGTATTGAGTCCCTGTAGGACTTTTGTCACCTCTGCTTATTACCCCTTCAGTCCTTCAGTAATAGCTTGCATTTGGAGGAAAAAATCCACAGAAGTAGGTAGCAAGAGTGTTGGGGACTGCTGCCCTCTGTTCTGCATTATTGTGTTACTGTTCATTCATCTTTGCAGTTCATATGAGGTCTTCGTGTTCTTCTCCTTTTTGTGGCTCATGGGAATAAACAGGGTAAGCGCTGTGCACACTGCTGTGTTCCTCTGCTATGGAGAGAACCCAGGGTGAAATTTCCAATGAAGGGAGCTGAGTGTGACTATGCCAGAGCTTGCTGGAGGCTTTTTTGCATTTTCGGCCATTTTTGCACTGTCAGTCTGACCTCTAGATTTAAATTTTGATTTCTAGTCTGAGACAGGTGTTTAGACAGCTGTTCACTTCCAGCTTAATAAAGAGAGTTTTGAGTAACATGAGAGTTTCTTTTATTTTTTCGGCTCTCAATTCTGAAAATGGGAAGTATAAAGAAAGTTTGGTGCTGCATGACTTGGTTGCATTTCATGTTACTTTGATTTTAATCCCAGAGTTGAAAGTCAAATTAATTTAATAGTTACTAGACCTTATTATATAGTCCCAAATCAGATCATTAGTGAAATTACATGAAGCTAAAAAGTTAATAGGAAAGTAAATTTCCCAACTGACAATCTTCCTTTCCAGCATGCATCAATGCTGAGGCACTTTGATAGATCCTTAGAAATGTGCTACTAACTCTGTTGTGGATACAAAGTTTTTCAGAACTTGGGAAGTACTCAGTTTTGAGGTTCTGCCATATTTTCTCTTGTATTGTGGTGATTGTCTCATTTAAAGGACCATGTCTTCAGGTGTAGGATTGTGATATTACTTCAGAATTTTCCATATCTCATTTACATACTTTCTCCTTTGTTTTCTTCTATAACCATTTTGACACGGCTACAGCTTTTGTTCGTTTTGGTTTTGTTTATTTTTAATTTTAGACACCAGATGTTGCTATGACTTGATTTTCTTTTATAGATGAGTAACATTTTTGCATTAATTTAGTAAAACCAGCTGATCAATGTCCTAGCTGCACTTAGTTGCTTCCTAAGGCAGAGCAAATCCCAGCTTTTCTGTTGGCTTTTGCAAGTAGAGTCACAGGGATCTTTTTTATTTAGGACCAAACCTTTCTTATATGAGAAAACACCCTTCTATATTGAAACATTTTTCTCCATGGAGCAAAGACACAGAGGCTTTTTAAAAAGAAGTAGTTTGTGTATCAGCAGTGATTTTGCTTAATGTTTTATGCATAATTTTAAAAATTGTCACTGTTGGTACAGAGACAAAAATGGTCTTATGAAAAATTAAATTTGCACAAAAGAAAATACATTAATTACTGCAAGATAGTTTATCTCAGCATTCATTACAATCTATAAAATAGTTTTTTTTTCTACTGCTTTTCTACTTCATAGGGCCTCTGGGACACTCTGACATATGCAGATGACCAAACTTGGTAAAAGGTGTCCTTTCTTGTTCAAAGCCTAAGAATGTTTTTCTTGTTTCATTCTATGTTCTGGGGAAGGACAGTAGAGGGAAGAGGCAAGGAGAATACAGTCCCTGCTGTCCTGGCTATTGGAGCCCTTCCTGAATTAGCACTGGCTCTTCTGATTTAAGCAGCTGATGTATCAGATACATCTCACAGAGGTAATGCTGCTCTGTGAAATATGAAATATTTCACATATATGTGAAATAGCAGGAAGCTAAATCAAAGCTAACTTTGCAGTATTTAAGTGAAGAAAAATTTCCCAAGTATTCTCATAAACAATTGAAACTGACTATGGAGCAAGAGTGACCTTCTTATCCTCAAACCACAAGTGTGCTGAATTCCTGGAGTAAATGCTTCCAAAGGCATGGATGGAGAATGGATGGCCAGAAAGAATTGGAAGGAGCATCTGAAATGGCTGACCTGAGCTTCTAACCTTAGAAACCATTAAGAAATTTGCCAGGTTATTGTAATTTCTTTCTTAACCTCTTATCTTTGAATAGACCTACATGGGTTCCACTGTTCCTTCTGTTGCTCCTGACAGTTTAGAGGCACTTGTGTTTCCTGTTGTTACCTCATTGACATATGTGGACAGAAACCGCTGAAAAGCGTGCTGCAAATCCACAAATGACTACTAAATAAAAAACCCTCTAAACTGAGGAGCAGTATTTCATTTTCAGGCTCTCATTTCTACTATATTTTAATATATACCTTGAAATAATTAGAAAAGAAGAAATTTCTGATTTTGTGGTTTCCTAAATTGATGTCACTTGTGAAGTAAGTTTTCAGCTCAAGATCTGACTGTGCTCATGTTGGTCAACCAGTGGTTTGTGATCCAGGTAAAAAAGCAGGAATGACTAAGAACAGTGGGAATTTGAACTGCTAGTGTAGTTTTTGACTCGTTTTTGAGAAGTGGATTTTATTATTTCTCCTGTAGTGTTTTTATGTATTTTACTTCATGTGTTTCAGTGTGTTTCAGAAATCCCACTTTCCATAATTCATAATACTAACTGAGTCTTTTATTGGGAATCTGTTTTAAAAACTACCAACCCTGAGATTGTTTCTTGAGTCTATTTTTTTTTTTTGCATTGCTTAATACAAGTCAGTTTTTTGTAGGTCTCTGATGCAGACAAAAAAGATAGCTGACACATAAGAACCTGGTGAAATTACAAAGGATAAAGTGAAGTCATTTTACCAGCTGAACAAGAGAATCTTAACACATCAACACAAATTCCTTGAACTGCCTCATCAATTTTTTTCAGAAAGCATAGTCTGTCCTCACTCTCTCCACATGTAGGCTAGGCCTACTGTGTTTCCTTATCTGCTTCATTCTTTGTCAAGCACTGCCAGCACACACTGCTCTGAAGCTGGCCTCGGCTTCCTGCTGAAAGGAATGTCCTTGAGCATATCATGAAATTTTGACAGTGTTTAACCAGGCCAAGAGCTAAAATAATTTCCTTTGATACAGAATGACCTGCGAATAGTATTGTAGCCCTGGAGGTCAGAGCTGAGCCAGTTGCCATTTTGGTGGAGATTTTGAGCTTTGCTGTTTGTGGCCTTAGCTTATTACATGTTGAAATTCATATTGCAAAGATACTTATCAGTTTCTCCATCTGGTTGGCAAAATGAAGTTATTTTGTGTAGTTCACAGTGTGGGTAGCAGGGCAGTTGTGAGTAAAATTGAAATTTCTGTCCTCGCCTTTTCCATGGATTACAACTGCGTAGCTGTTTTTCTGTTTTCTTTTATGGGTATGCTTTGAACTATATTTTTAGGGGTTAGGTTTTCAAATTTACCTAAGAATTTACTCTAAGAAAATGTAGTAATCCATTTGTTAAAGAGTATCCAATGGGGGTTTGATTTTTTTGCTCCTCATGCTTATCCAGTAGCTGGTTGTGTCATTTCCACAGCAGTCTGGATACTGTATACAGCACATAGACAGTTGTGTCTGCACAGAAGGGAAGTTCTCCTTATAGATAGATTTTTTTTTTCAGATTTTGGCTTAGATTGTTCCTCAGATCTTGTTTAAATTAAAAGATCTCTATTTACAAATAAACACTGTAGTTAGGCAACAATTAGTAAGGGGAATCATTTGCTATTAAACTTCTTAGCCTAAAAATGGAGGCCTAACTTCTGAGAAAAAGGATGCATAGTGTATTCTGATTCATTAGGTGTGATATCCTTTCAGGGGTTCTATTTCCCTCCCAAAATTTATTGTAGGCACTTCCTGAACTTTTGTATCACATGTACAGCATCTAAACACTTAAGCTCTCTGTGCAGAGTTCACAGTGGATCCATTGAGAACTCTGCTTTTCATATCTACAGTTTGTTATTGCTGCTAATTCCTTGTAACTGTAATGGTTTTCTAATGTGCCAAGAATGAAGTATTTTTCCCCAAACCTGGTTAGTTATTTTCTACATAGTAGTATTTTCTCATAAACTAGTGTAGAATCATAGAATCAAGGAAATGCTGGGTTTGGAAAAGACATCTAGGATCCATGGAGCCCCACTTATTAACCTTGCACTACTTTGTTGCCACTAAACCATGTCCCCAAGTGCCACGAGTTCTTTGAACACTGCATGGATGGTGTTTCCACTACTTACCTGGACAACTTGTTCTAGTGCCTGACCACTCTCACAGGGAAAAGATTTTTCCTGGTATGCTATCTAAACTTCCCCATGTGGCCATTTCTTGTCCTATTGCTTGTTACTTGGGAGAAGAGACTGATTCCTACCTCAGCACAGCCTCCTTTCAGGCAGTTGCAGAGAGAGATGAGACCTCCCAGGGCTCCTTTTCTCCAGGCTGGACAACCCCATGTCCCTCAGGACTTGTGCTCCAGCTCACCACCATATGCACCTCTTGGAAGGATGTGTTCCGTAGAAGCCATTGACAGAATTGCCTAGTTTTTCAAGCTAGCTTGCTTCTTTAAGAGGGTCTCTGAAACTTAGGGCATTCTAAGTCGATGTCTTCATTTGTACCACACAACCCTTAAGGTACCAGATTTATTAGTTGTATTGTTTTGAGAATGCACTGAGGAGAGTTTCAGCCAGTGCTGTGTAGATAACACTGAAATGTTAAGTCTTCTGCCGTAGTGCTGATATACTGAGGGAAGAATTTGTGCTAAAGAGAAAAGTTATTTATTGGTTTTAATTAAACAGCACATAATCTTGTCAAACACATTTCTGTTGAGTAATGAATTTCACAAAAGTAATTTAGGAAAAATATCTTGCACAGAACCTACGGCTCCTTAACATTCTGTCACATATACATTATAAAAATTGCAAACTACTGCAGCATCAACCTTAGTGTCTGATTCACAACTTTACATTATACTTTATCTTCCAGAAATACTGCCCTGATGCTGTTACTTATGCAGTAGCTTTCCCATTCTGCCTGATAATCATGGAAGGGACTTCTCCTGTTTTCAGGATTGTTGTCTGCTCCTCTGCATGCACTAGAGCAAAATTGGTCAGTTGGAATAGTTGGGTGATGTTGCAGATACAAAGAAACCATGAAACTTTCATCCATTACAATAAAAAAGGGGACCTTTATTGCCATGTGACCTTTTCAGCTGTCTCAACAGGACAGAATATATTAGGGAAAAAAGTTTTTCTTGTATATGTGCCATTTTGTTATTTAAAGAGATGCCATAATTCTGAAATAAATGCATTTGTTGTCATAAATTTTACAAATACTGAAGCAGAGTGAGAGGATCCCATGAAGTTGTCCTCTCCATTTTGGTAAGTGGATGTGAATGGAATGTGAGGGAAAAGCTCTCATTCTGCTCACAGAACGGCTCACAATCTCTTCTAAGTTAGAGCTCTGGTTAGTGAAACCCTATTTCCAATAGGAACTGCAGGAGGATTTTCTTCAAGGGCTTGCTGACATGAAGCAGGTGTGTGTACATGAAGGCCATTCATTGATACAGAATTTTTGGCCAAAAGTATATTTTCATGATTGTTGTATTCTCTCAGAGGCCTTACTGATTTTGGTTCAAGGCCTGTATGTGTTTGTGAACATATGCAGATGAGTTCTGACTCTACTCTCTTTGTTACAGATGATGAACCAGAACCTGCTGATGGAAAAATTATGTTCAGGAAACCAGCCAAACGTTCATCAGAGAAGTGTTTAGACTTCAATGTAAGTTCAAGTAAGAAGATGAAAGAAGCAAAGAAAACCAAGGGGGAAGCAACTACTTCTCAGAGTACAGCTAAGCAAGTGAAAAACAGCAGTCTTCTGTCATTTGATGATGAGGAAAATGATGATTAGGGTTGTATTTTTTTTATGCTTAACTTGCCTGTCTAGAGACCTGGATAATATTGAGGGCTTTCATAGGAATAGAAGCATGGTGTCTGAGTCTTCTCTTACTTTGCTATAGTCCAACTAGAGAAGTAATGTATAAAATTAGCATGAACTAAGTCTTTGCAGTTAGTTGGAACTGTATGTCATGTCTTAATTTTAAAGGAGAATTTAACCATGTATGTAAAAGCTATTTGAGGTCACAAATGAGTAGCAAATTATACCTGTATATATTTAGCTTACAAATTTTCAGTGAATTTTAAAATGCCCTCCATTACTAAAATGTGTTTTGTCTATATTGAATAATTGAATAGCCTTGGTTGACTGTTATGGTTTCTACCTTTATTATTGACATTCAAAAGAGAGGCACTTCATTGATGTTAAACAGAGACTGAAGTTTTCTGTCTCACAGCTTAACAAAAGTTTGCACAACCTTTGCATTTGTGATTTGCAAGATTAGCTCTTGCAGAGCCTTGTAGTAAAGGAGGCTGCATTTCTAAATTTGTGTAGTCTTGATCCTGCAATTGGTGAATGCAGTCTAAGAAACATCAAATTCATTTGAATTGGTTGTAATAGCAAGGTATAAAGATTTTGATTCTAGTTGATGGTATCAACTAATGCAAAAGAAGCCTGTGCACTTTGGCTTTGACACTGATGGGCTCAATGGTTTGATGGTGCTTTGGGTTTTTTTTTTTTTTTAAATATATTTGTTCCAGTTAACTACTTATATGTTCATAATTATTTGGGATCTCAGACAGCTTGTTTAAAAACTGTATTTCATCTTTAAGCTGTGGAAAAGCATTAATTTAGTATTCTTCAAGTAGGGGGAAAGTTGTAAACAGGGAATTTAAGCCAAGAAACACTATAGCTGTGTGTATCTTGGTTTAAGACAATTCCTGGAGCAGACACTCCAAAATGAGTTACTGCCCCTTTTAGCTTTAACTGCTTCCCTTTCACTGGTGAGCAGAGATGAAAGCAAGAACATATAAGTGAAAAAATAAAAGTTTACTAAAAAATGAAACGGCAACAGGCAGGATAACAGTAATCATCACCAGATACAAAGGTGCTGAATCCCATGGACTGCTTGGGAACAAAGACAAGATGGCAGAGAAACCCCTCCCCAGAAATGTTGGCCTCCACAGAAGACCACGTGGTCAGGGGACAAAGGCAAGCTGGTGGAGAAGCCCCTTCTCCTAACCACGTGTTGGAGAGAGAACAAAGGGAAAAAACCCACCACAGCATCTGAAGCTCTGTGATTATGAAAGTCCCTCTTCTCCAAACAACAACCAACGAGGAACAAGGACAAAACAAAAAGAAACTTGGACTCCAAAACCAGTCAAATGCTGCTGATCTCTTTACTCCGCATCACCGGACAAGGTCTCTCTCCTGGCAGCAGAGCAGCTCCATCAACAGTGGCAGCTGGAACTGGTCAGTGGCTGGAACTCCTGGGGGGACTTGGCCTCCTCCTCAGCAGAAGATGACGGGCAGAGGCCTGGGGCAGCCCGGAGTGACTCTATGGAGCAGGGGCTGTTCTGGTTTTCCCACTGTGGTGCCATGGCTGGCCAGTCCAAGTGACAGCAATGAAAAAGGAAGGAAAAAAGGTCACAAGAGAAAGAGAAAGTCTTCCCTGGCCCAGAGACCAAAACAAAGGGGAGCTTCTGCCTTGTGCTGCCTCAGCTTCTCAGTAACTAGCAGGAACAAAAGAGAGGCCTGTGTGAGTGTTGTCTCATTTTAAAGGGATCCTGGCATCTTCTGCTTCCATGAACCTGTGGCAAGACCCTCTGGTTCTGCTTCTGACCCCCAGGTCTTAAAGGGAGAGCAAAAATCTTGGGCAGAGGGGGCTAGAAAGAGTCCATTTCAACATTTTTCTGTAACAGGACAGAATTGACACTGATAGCTGATGGGATTTTGGAGAACAAGGTGGTAGGAATGTCACTTGTGACTTTGAAATTATTTGGATGTATGGTGTGTTCTGTAACCATATGAAATCAGGTCTGCTGTGTGACAGGACATTTGAAATTATTTGGCCTGTAAAGCTTCATCGAGGAGCATATTTCAAGTTGCTGTGTGAAACAGCTGGTTTTAGTTTCATCTGGTAGTAAACAATAAATTATATTTTCTTTTAAGTGGTCCAAAGATATTTTAATAAAAATTTCAGGACATGAAATGAGATTTTTTTTGGCCTCTTGATATTGGAGCCTCCTGTACCTGCTGCCTGTCTCCCTGCACACCAGCTTCCTGCAGCATAACATCAGATGCAAGTCTGCACACTCTTTTGCACTGTTTGTGTGAGTACATGTTACCCTGATTTTGAAAATGAATAGATCTGTTGTCCTTTCAGAAAATTGAAACCAGACCTATAAATGGATATTAAAGTCTTGTTGCACTGGTTTCATATTAGAATTGTGAGAAGTGCTGTGTACAACCTGATTATTCCCATGTGGACATGCTACATTTGTAAATACATAATTTGTCTGTATTCTCTGCATACAAAAGAAGAAATTTAAAGTACAGAACCAAAGGTTCCCAAGAATTGGTATTTCCATTTATTTTGTATACTTAAAACTTGTTTGAATCAATTTAAAATATATACCAATACATACATACACACCCATAAGTAATCTTGCAGCATTCCAGTGTACAAAAGGAATATTTGGGCATATGTCAACAATGGAGTATATATGGAGTAAATACTCTGACTTGCTGAGACTTATCTGAAAGAATGAATTAACCACTGGCTGCTTACTTAAACTTTTCTGGTTCTGTTTGTCAATACAGAAATATATTTGCATGCAGTTTTCTTGTACAACCTGGAAGCTCATAACTTGAGCTGTGAGGCAGTTTAGGAGACGTGGCTATTCAGATAAATGCTTGCCAAGGACCAGAGCATTTGGTTTTACCTTAAAATTAGAAAATTCCTCACAAATATGCAGTTGATCTGGCTTGTTCAAAAATAAGATTGAGATCTTGTTTGATTCTGGATTCTTGTTTAAATGCAATTTGTAATTGCTTTTAAACAAAAGTTCCCATTTTTAGTGAAAGACACTGGAGACTGGAGTCCAGTAAAGGGAGGGTTACCTTGAATATTGAGTGCAGTACTTTTACTTAACTTTTGGTTAATCATGTTTCTTGCTCTACAACCTCCATGACAGATGTCTGGAATGCAAATAAATGGATTGAGTTTACTTGGAAATAATAAATTAAAATGTATGTTGTTGTTTAGGCAACACAGCAGGGGAAAGAAAGGTGGATACGGAAACCCAGTTTCTTTCCTTCATTCCAACTGATTTGAAGTGCTCTGACCAGGAGGAGACCTTTGTATTCATGGTATTTCACTCCCAGTTCACCCAACAACAACTAATTGAATAGATTTATTAAGAGGTGTGAGTGATGCACAAAGACATTTTAATCAGGTAGTCATGTGAAAATTCAATGTTTTTACCATGACACACCAGGAAAATCACACACACTATCAACTCCCATGAAACCTGTGGTTAAAGAGAACAATTACTTGTTCATTTAGGAAAGAAATGTGAAACTCTTAAGCAATCCCCTGTTCGAATGGGCCATGGGAAAATAATAATCACAAGTTTCTTATAAAGGGGAAGCCAAAGCTAAGTACATGGAACATGAGGCTAGGACAGGAAAGGATAATTTTCCTGGGTTTTCTTTTTCTCTTGCTCTTGCTTGCCCACATTCCCTGTCCTTTTCTCCTCCTGCAGTGGAGAATGTATATGCCTTTATTTTCTCACAGAGTTTGCAGAGTTAAATGTGAGAGCAGTGAAGAAGGAGCAAGGTGAGAGTAGCTGAAGATTGTTACCCAATACAGGAATCTTGGTCAGATGTAGCCTGTTACCTCATATGGGAATCTTGTACTGTTTCTCTTAATAAAATACTTGAAATTTCCCAGTTCATTAAGACTAAAACATTTATTGATGGTATTAGCTGAGCAGTGAAGTGCAACAAATCTGGTGAACTGTAGTAGCATTGCAGCAGCAGATGCTTATAATGGAGGCATTTTATGCTGAAAAGGTACTTGGATGTCAGTAGGAGAGGTGAGATGCTCTGACACCTTAATTTCTTTTGAAGAACCAGGATTTTTCTCTAAATGATAGGAATCAAGGTGAATCATCAAGAATGCTGCATTCTTGATATATAGAATAAACAAGAAAATGCATGTGTGGGCAGGTGGCCCAGGAGTTCATACCATTGATTGTATTTCTGAAATAAATGCAGATTTGTTGTACTGAAAAAGTTCATCTCATTGGGCTAAAGAGGAAGGGATGAGTCAGAATTATATTCTGATAGTTTTTTTTTTGTCCAGCACTTTTCCTAGAAATATCATTTGGAAGATCAAAAGCTGTGTTTTACAGACACTGAGCACAAGAAGCCTGTATTTAGCAGTTTTAATTGCACATTTTTAAGTTTCATCGCAGGACTTAATGTCCTTTTTTACAGTGCTTCAGGATATAATCCTGTTAGGAAGCTGCAGATTTAAAATGAAGCAGGAAGCAGCAATGTCATCGTTTCAGCTGATTGTTTCCCTTATGCTGTAGTGTATTAACTAAGTAAGGCTTCACTTGGCTGTGCAGAGCCAACTGCCTTCTCAAGGACATCAGGCTTGCCTGCAGATGAGTCATTACCTTTGTGCAGCACAGGAGGTATGATGTGCAACCTCAGCAAGTGTTTGTCCATTGAGGCTGGTTAATAACCTATAGGCCTGTCCTGTGGCAGGATGCCATAAATCAATCCTTTGTGCATTCAGCAAACAGAAGGGCTCGTGTATCAGCTGCCTCTTCAGTATCATCCCCTTATTCCCGTTCCTAGAGCAAGGTGCCAATCTGCAAAGACATTTTTCATGTTGTAGACCTTCCCTTCTGCACCACTTCCTTGAGTGCATTTCACAGGCAGCAGTCACAAAGACAGCCATTAAAACCAGGGGAGACACACCATAGGGTTATGTGACTGCAACCTCCTGTAGACTTCCTCAAGATATTGAGAACCTATAAAATCTCAGAGGCAGCCTCTGGGAAGTAATTTCCTCCTGGGGAAAATGAATGGGACCAGCCAGGAAAATGACACAAGATTGAATTTTACTGTTATTTACCTCACTGTTAGTGGATTTTCTGTTGAAGGTAAAGCAACAGCTGGCAAAGCAGGTCTTTCCCTCTTATCAGAAGTGGCTTTGGTGCCATTCCAATCCATATGGCAAAGGATTCCTTTTCCTTGACTCTGGTGGCAGTCCTCAGTGCCATGCCTGATTAGTTAAGGCCGTGGGCAAGTGGGAGCTACCTTGTAA